TTTCTTAACATAAAATATATTGTGCCCTCATAATTCATGGGGGCTAATAATTCTGACTTCAACTGTATATTCATTTTAATAATAATTATTCTTCAGAACAATGAAACTAATTTCTTCTGTGAAGCACTTCTACAATTTGAAATGTTACCTTTAAGAAGTCTTATATTTATGCTTTATATCCTAATAAATACAAAATTTGCCATTGAGGTTAAGTACAACTAAATTGCTACTGTTAGTTTTGTAAATATTTTGACGTTTATTGTTTATTTAAGTTTATAAATATATTTTATATTTTTAAATATATTAGTTTTGTTATATATTGTTTCTTTTTTAGTTTTTAATGATTTTATAGTATGTATTTCTCATTTATAATTAGTATTTGCTTTTAAAATGTCAATACATTTATATTAAAATGATAATTTAACCAAAAAGAAAAATTCTGTCATCGTTCACTCATCCTCCACTTGTTCCAAAGCAACAAAGTAAAGTATCACCCTAATATAATAAGTTAAATGTCAGTCTAATGTTAGCTTATAGTAAAGGAATGTGAGAGTAACACAAAAGATATTATTTAGCAATCCGTGCCCGTCCTTTCATAACTGCAGCTGCTGACTCAGGTTTCGTTTGCATTTCAGATGCAGAGTCTTGTTCATCCACCAGAGAGCAGTATAAAGCAGCCCTTCAGCTTTGGCAGTCTCACATGCCCAAGACCTTGACGATCAGTTAAAGTGGTACAATCCGGGGTGAGTCTGGAGATGTTTTGGGAGGCCTCGGGGCAGAGCCGAGGCCTCAGGGGAAGAGTTCAAATGCTGTGTACAATGTCAGGTTTGGATGCACATGGCATACAGAGCGAGAAGCTTTGAGACGATGCCATGTTGGATTAAAATCATCATCCGAGAGATCATAGAGGCTTGTAAGAGAACACAAGTGTGTCTGTAAGCTGTAAGCGTGCATTTGCTTGCCAGTGTGTATGTGTGCATGAACAGATTTGTTTCTGTATGCAGTGCGTGTGTGTGTGTGTGTGTGTGTGTGTGTGTGTGTGTGTGTGTGTGTGGTGGGATCAGGAAGGGAAGCCCCGGTCTAAACGCTGAGTCCAGATGGCAAATGTAATGAGGATCAGCATGCAGAGGTGCGTTATTTTGACCCTGGTCACCCTCGCTTTCCTCTTGCCTTCCTCCCCAGGGACACATCCATGAATAATGCATGATCAATTATTACTTCTAACATTTCGCTGTATTTCTGTGAGCAAAGGCGAGATTGCAGCGGGGTGCAATCTGCTTTTATGTGGTCAGTTGGAAGACTTACCATTAGAATTTAAGCATGGAAGAAATTTCTACTGAGCATTTATCACCACAGACAGATTTGTGCATTACTGTTGTGGTTTACCTTTATCGAGAGTTGCAGAGGTTTGCTGCAGGTAAGGTCTGATGCCATCATGACTCATAGCTTTTAGATTTAGCTTAAGGACTCAGAACCAAGTTCTGGTGAGCATTTCTAGGTGGCTGTGCAAACATTTCTATCACGTTAGTGACGTAACTTATGCTGCATTTTAGACAGCTTGGAATTTGTATTTTTAAATGCAACTTGGTTTTCTTCTTGGAAACCTTGGCTGGTATTTTAAATAGGGTAGGATATTTGACCTGGAAACCTTTGGGGTTTCCAAAGAATATAGCACAGTTAACTTATATCAAATGTAAAGCAAGTTTTTATCATATAGATTGTATGGCTTGCTTGATATACTATTATTGATGTGTTTTACTAAAATATTTGGTAGAGAACCCATAAAAAGAGTTACATCATTTAAAGAAAATCCACATGAATTTTGGACTTTGTGGCCACCATTAATATAAAGTAGTTGCACCGTTGCTATTGACATCACATGGTTGCATTTGGTGAACCACTGGCACTGCCTGTTGCTACTTTTATCCTGCATAACTCAAAGTCAAATATTTAACATTAAGCTGCTTTTGGTTGTAATTTTAGGTCAAAGAAACCTGAAGGAGAGCAACCTGGAACTCAGAAACCAGAATGTCTCTCTTTAATGTCTCTAGTTTTCTTAAGTAAATTTGTTATATAATATAATAGAGCTTTCGTCTCTTGTGAATTTAAAACTACCATGGTCATTTTCCCTTGAAGAGTTCAGATGAACTGATGAACAAAAAAAAGTGTCGTGGAATTTTCTTCTAATTTTAGCATTTTACTCCTATGTTTTTGTTCAGTTATTTCACAATAAATGCAATGAAAAGAACATATTATTTGTTATAAAAGAGAAATTACTGAAGAGTCAAGAGCCAGAAAAAAAAATCCCAATTTTAAAATATCAGGGGGGACTTAAATGTTTTAGCATCTGCAATATTCACTTGTAAAAATAGCCACTTGTGTGATGCATGTATTGAATCAGTAAAGGTATGCAATAGTCCAGAATACCAGAGTGATTGTGTATAGCCATGCCCCCCTTTTCAAAAATCTGCATTTCAGTCTGTCATATTAAAACAGAGGGCGACACAGATGGCTCAGTAGGTAGTGCTGTCGCCTCACAGCAAGAAGGTCACTGGTTCAAGCCTCGGCTGGGTCAGTTGGCGTTTCTCTGTGGAGTTTGCATGTTCTCCCTGCGTTTGTGTGGGTTTCCTCTGTGTGCTCTGGTTTTCCCCACAGTCCAAAGACATGTGGTACAGTTAAATTGAGTAGACTAAATTGTCTGTAGTGTATGAGAGTGAAAGCGTGTCTGTGGAAGTTTCCCAGAGATGTTGTGTTGTGGCTGGAAGGGCATCCACTGCGTAAAAACATGCTGGATAAGTTGGTGGTTCATTCCGCTGTGGCAACCCCAGATTAATAAAGGGACTAAACCGAAAAAGAAAATGAATGAATGAATATTGAAGCGGAACATCAGCGTTTCAATACATAATGCTCAGTTTTCAAAAGGATTCATTTTGGTGGTTGCCAGATTTATGTGGATCACAGGTGTATCCATAAGAAAACTTCTATTTTTTAAAATGAATATGCATTAGTGTAAATGGAAACTTACGTCCAATCCCAATTCTACCCCTTACCCCTTCCCCTTACCCTTGTTCCAATTCTCTTTAGCTTGAAGGCGTAGGGCTAAGAAGGGCTAGATACCCTTTCAAACAGAGATTTTTCAGGACCACACTTGAAACAAAGGGTGTGAAATTTTCCCAGAAACAGTGGCAGCATGGCTGCTCACAGTAGATGCACAAAATAGTATTTTTTGCTATTATTATAAATTTTTACTACAAACAAGCACATGTTTTAATACATTAATCATGGCGTTTGTGTTTTACCATCATGGTTTTTTATGGTACCATCATGGTTACCCTGTCAGAAAAGTCTAGTGCCTGGGAATGACCTTTTTACAGTGTCTGGAATAATGTTGTTTTTGTATGATTACATAGCTGAATATGGCAACTGCGTAAATGCACAGTACAGTTACGATCTTTTTGCCACATTATATTTTTATGAAAACGTGATATATGCCTTCAGTGATTTCCTCAAGATAAATACCATGAAATAAGGCAACTGGAATCACTACAGCAGTCGCGATCATCTGATCTCATGAAGCAAGAAATTGCGATGACATATGATGATGTGTACAGCTGTTGTAGTGCTGTCCCCATACCTAAGGGTAAATTTTGAAGCCCTTCCCCTTCACACTCTGTTTCAAAGGGGAGGGGAAGAAGTTAGGGTATAAAAATAGAATTGGGATTGGGCCTTAGTCTTAAAAGCGAATGGCAGAGCTTTATTTTTATTTTACTTTTGACATAATGGACATAAATAGCTATAATAATCTTATTGTTAACATGTGAACATGTAAAACACGCTTAATTATTATTAATTTTTTCTTATGTTGTTTTTTACTTATGTGACATAGTCGACACCATTCCTGTGTTGGCAACAATGTTTTCTTTTCTCTTGGTTCATGAGGTAGTTTCACAAACTCCATTTGCTCCATTGTAAATGTTGTTCACTAATAATTCTAATGACTTTCTTATTTATGAGTGCAGAAAAACTATTCACAACTGGTGAGAATGCAAATAGTCCTGTTGTCTTTTGGAGAGAGTGCATGGCACTGACGAATGATTAAAAATATTTATTTACAGTTTATATTTAACAGATGCCAAATAATTGGTTTGCTAAAATCAAATGTTGAAAACTTCCATTGTTTTCTAAAAGTTTCAACAGTCTCTCAGTCTTTCCCATCATCATCATTTATGCCAATCATCTAATGTCTTCACTCTTTCCTCGTTTAACCCACTTGCTGTCATTATCTCTGAAAAGCAATCTGCCTTCGAAAAATTTCAGAATATTCACACAGCAGGAGTCCTGAACTAGAATTAGTTTTTAGGATTACTTTTAGTTAACAGCAGTGGAATCTGAATTTCATTTGGCCCTCCCACGCTGAAATTCAGACCCTGTACTGCATGTAATTTTCACATATTAATCCATCAAGTGCCAGCTAATCCTCAAATATGTAGACGAAGCTTGTTTTAAGAGTTTGTTGGGTCTGTAATGGCATTCAAGACAATTATCTCTGCTTGCTTGAAGGGTCTGGAAGATGATCTACAATTTTATAACGAGCATTACAGGAGCAGGAGTGGGCTGTGGTTTATATTTCACCCTGCGGTATTAATTCTCTTCCTCATCTGATTAGCGAGACTTCCTGTAATGCAGTGGCATAATGCAGATGTTCGTAGGTGGCCAATGAGAGGATTAGTCAGGGTCTAGTGACATAAAAGGGGAAGGTTGAACAAATACAGCACGCCGTAAGCATTTCGAGTGTGTGAATGCGTTGTCCGTGTGCATTCTGCCAATGCTAAGTGAAGGGAGCAGAGGTTGTCTATCACCTGCCACCAAACTGCTCACCTGTGAGTACCTACAGCTGTCTATGCCATCTGTTTCCTGCATGCCTCTGATATCTTGCCTGCTCATTTTTTCATTTTTTTCTTAAAAGCAAACATTTTACACAAGACAGACCACCACACATCTTACAATAATACAAATATAACTGTTTATTCAATAATATGTAATAATAAGACCCCCTCCCTCCTCCCAGCCCAGAGATGTATAATTGCTCTAGAAACGTACACAGGATGGCAAGTTGGAGGCCAGGAGAGGGTGCTAAGGAGATCCTGTGCTCTGTAACGGGGAGTCCTTTCCTAGTATTTCCGTAGTGGGATGCATGCAGTAGAGTTCCAGTACTCTCCCAGGTGTGTCGGCTTTCAGAGCAGCACGTCTGTCATGCTGGTTTGGGGTGCAAGGGTTTGTTAGCTGACCTGTTAGTCTACCTTCAGCCTTCTTTGAGTCTCCGCGGAGGCCTCCATGCGGTTTTGTAGGGCAGCTGTGTTTAGCTCTGCCTTCAGCGGCTGTCAGCCAATCAGCCTGCATTCACTGTAAGATCAAGGGGTGGGGCTTAGGCAGCCACATTCAGTTTGGCAGTTATTGCCACACGCAGGCAAGCCCTGGCTAGTGGAAGACTTTGTTATTTGGAAGACAAGAGGATAGGAAAGAAAGGGGTTGGCTTGTTTTCATTTCGTTTGGAAGAACTGATTAGAAAAAGGTGCGTCGGCTTTCAGGTTTTAGTTTGTTGTTTTTTTGCTTAAAACTCAAAAAGGTTTGGGTGTGGAGGTCTCAAAGTCCAATTTGTTAGTCCTTTAACGGCACAGGTTTAAGAAAGAAAAATGTAGAAAGGAAATAATATATATAAAAACAATTTCACACAAGGGAAATATGGCAGAAAAAGAAAAACAATCAAACAAATACAAGGTTTCAGGTTCATACACATTCCCCACTAAATATAAAAGCAAAATTCAAGGAAGTACCCATCAGATCTTCAAAATTACATTTTCTCTGTGGGTAAAATGGCCTTCGGTTGCAATTAATATCACAATTTAATAAAAACAAATACAAAAAGAAAATCAAATCTGTACATGTCCACAGTCCTTATGGCTCACAGCAGTTTTGGCAAGACCAGGCAGTCCATCTCCCCAGAAGCAGCCGTTTACAGTACTGTCATCATCATTTATTTATTTTTTTTTGATTGCATTTAATATTACTTTTGAATCATTCTTTGATTTATATACATATACATATTGTTTTCTTTTACTCCTCTGAGATATAGTATGAAATCTATTTTTCGTCACAAAAATACAGCATGAAAATTTCAGAAGTGTTCCCACAATCGCCTCACTCTTTTTGCATGCTTGAATTGAGGGCAAATGAAACAGAGGGTGGACTCAATGTGTCCTTGAGAACTTGCCCTGATTTTAAAGAGAGAGCGAGAGTCAGGAGAGATCTGAGACCATAATACTAGCAACTTCACAGCAAAACCAAGTCTGGACAGAGAGAGGAACAAAATACAGACAGTGAGAAAAAGAGTGAGCTAGGCCCATTTGACAATACCGAAATTGGCTTTACCATCTGAACGTCACTTTATCTCCATGTCGTCATCTTCTCCTCCGCCAGTTTCTCACAGACTGGATAAAGTCCCATGAAGGGAAAAAAACTCAGTTCATCGTCTGCTAATGTCCTCGGGTTCCTCGGTTGCACAGGGAAATTATTGCTCACAGCGATGGGCTATTGCTCTCCAGTTTGGCTTTTATTGAGTCAATCGATCGTTACTTTGCTCTATCTCCCTCTCTCTCTCTCTCACACACACACACTCAAACACACAGAGCTGTAGGGAAGGTTAATAGCCACTGGACACACAGAAGAGAGGGTTTGGGGAGATTGCTCAGGAAATGGAGCATGACTTTGGAGCACACATGAGGGGGCGTGTTTGCGCCACATTCGTCCTTGTGTTCTTAAAACCTCCATGGGACCAGGTACACTAGCTACACCACATGCACATACAGTCACGTCCCCCTTACCCAAATCCTCAAAGGACCCCGTTTCTCACCTTCCGCTAAATCAGCAAGAATTTAAACAGTGTCTAATTCAGAGAACAGGATCTCACACTCATCATTAGCACCAAAGCACACTCTGTCCTACAAGTACTTAACGATCATCTGGTTTTGCTCATCATAATCTAATGCTTCTAAACCCATCTTCCTCTACACCAGCTAACTTCAATCACCGAGCTGCCCTCAGGACTTTCAGAGACTCTCACAGCCACAAAATCATCTTCATCCCAAATCTAGTCTCGCACAAGCAAACTTTCTACAGACTTTTATTACAGTTCCTTAAAGATATCCAGATTCAATACGAGTTTAGTTTAGTCAACAGCACTTGTGGCATAATGTTGATTAACGTAACATGTCCTCCTTTCCTTTTAAAATCTAGATTACAATCAACCACTTACAATAGAAGCAAATGGGAAAGCGTTCACCATTTTTAATAGAATAGCTACATATAATTTGCATGCCAACATGATTTAAGAAAAAAATTTTGAACTTGCTGATTATAAATGACTAAATATAGTGATCAAAAGAGATTTTGTCAAACTCGTCTAACATTTCATAAGTCTAAACTTAAAAAAAAAATCTAATGTCCCTGTTTGTATAAACTCATTTTATAAAATTTTTCGTTTTTAAATTCTGTCTGTTTTGATCATGTCCAAAAAAGTGAAGCCAAAAACTTTAGTTTGCCCTCTGGTGGTTAGCTAAACAAATGGGATTCAAGCTATACTTAGCTTGTACCATATCTGGGACATTTTGGCTTCACTCTTCTGCAGTGGAAATCTGCTGTATTTTGTTTTTTGTTTAAACTTCACAAGGTAAATCCTCTTACTCTACTAATTTACATTGATTGTATGTTCATCACAGTAGCCCTGACTTTTATATTTTTAATTGAAGTAATGTCGGATTTTTAAATTCATTTGGTTAATCAACACAAATGCCAGGTGTGTTGTAGACAGAGCTTAACTTTTATTCAACAAGGAACATTCCTTTAGTATTCGACGTACAGTCAACTTTCATTGAGACATATACACGTACCATGCTTCAACATGCTAAAAACCTTCTGCAACATGCGCAAACCCTCACTGACATCCACTATTCGTTCTTCTGAATATCTTTTGCCATTTCTTTCAATATCTAAAGTTCTTTAATTTCATAGTTCATCCTTACATATTCAGGACACATCCCAAGGACACTGAGGTGACCACAAATATGAGTCAAAATGACCCTTTTGACACAAAACAACAGCGAATCCAAACCTATCCCATGTGCAGTCATGGAGCGTGACTCTTCCTGTCTGAAGGACAAAGAAGTAACATCTATATGATGCTTGATCAACCGTTTACTCAGACACTAACATTACAAACGACTGCATGTGGAGTGTAGACCGGTAAGATGCCCGTGGAATTACAAAGAGATTCTGGACGTCACAGCACTTCCTCTTGGTTATGTGTCAATTATGAAAGCTGGAGAGGGTCATCAGTCAACATCTCCAGGCAGATTAAAATGCCCAGACTCGACCGAACCATTAAAATGATCAACTGTGGTGTGTGAGCCAATGCATTTACACATGTGTGCCCAGACTGCCACACACACACACAAAAATAAATAATGGAAGCAGATGTTCGTTTCACATCATTCTGTCTCTTTCACACTCTAATACACACGTCTAAATGCACACAAACACTTCGTCACTAACCGCCTCGCCACAATTTAAATTTGCATATTAAAATCTCTCGTCCGAGCTGCTTGAACGCGCTGAACGTTCCTGGGGATAGGAGTAAATAATTCAAGCAATCATGGCCGGACTCCATGTAATCCCCTGTACGAATTCCATCAAAGAGCTATCAAACAACTGCCCTGAATAATCTCCACGCGTTTGCCAATGATACGGTTGGCTCTTCGAGCCCACCAGTCTTTAAACATGAATAGAGTCATCACAAGAGAATTAAGTTGTGTTTCCCCCCTTTTTTGGATCTTGCAGGCTGGACGTATAGCTTTGATTAAACTAAAACACAGAAGCGTGGGTTGTGAATTCATTCTGAACTCATAAGATGCAAATATCAGAGAGTGAGTCTTGATTTTAAAACCTGCCCAATTACATATTACACATGATGCCATTGGTTTTCCTGGCAACAGCCCATCAGTCTTTACATGCTGACCAATAGAACCACATCCTCCTTGAATTGTCCAATAAAAACTAATTTTACTACACTCCTTCTTTCATTTCTGATTGGCACAGAGCTGCCGTTGGCAAAGTTGTTGCAGAGAGAAAAAAAAATGAACCATTGAGGGTCTCATCTGCTGGAATCATTATGATGATATTGGATAATAACCTCTCTCTCTCTTTCTCTCTCTTGCTCACTCTCGCTCTCATTCTCACATCCAAACTCTCCCTTCAAACAAAAACAAACCATAGGGAAAGAAAAGTCAATTGAATTCTTCAGTTAGGAAGGATATTGTTTGCATTTCTCGTTTGACACTGTGAGAGAACTCAAGTAGGGCATGTGGGGGCACAGAAAAATGTTTTTGCAAGGGATTATGGGATCATTTGAAGGGGGTCAGGTGTCATGCCGGGTCAGTGGAAATATATGGGAGCTGGTTAGACGGGACGAGGCAGGGATTCTCCTCGGGTTGTAGAGAGCCATGGGCTGCTGTCTGATCTCGCCCTGTTCAAAAGCAAGTAGCTGCTCTTATAGCTCTTTCTGCCCTCGTTGCATGAAGGAAAATGGAGTTCTCATTGTCAGTGTAGTCCCTCACCCTCCATGTGTGCGGCCCCTGTGCTATGAAGCATCAGCCCTGGGGGCCTCTTTCCTGCCGTTCTGGTGGGAAGGGGAGTCTGAAGTCTTTACGGTTTTGCGAGGAGGACTCTGCTCTGCTACAAGCTCATGCAGGGAAGGTTCCTTGTACATGGCCACTGAGGGAACAAAAAGAACAAAGACAGACTGTTGTTATTTAAAGCAATAACAGAGTATCTAAAGTAAGATATAGTCTCATGAACAGTGAAAATATTTATGTCACTGGAGAATTAAAAATTACAAGAATCTGCTCTTGAAATAAACATTTGAGATAACTATTAATGTGATTAATGGGGATATTGTAAAATCTTATTGGCTGGTTCACACTAATGCTTATCTGGTCTAAGGTAAGGTAAACTAGATATTACCTTGTCTGCTGGTGTAAGCTGGTTATCAGCACATTTAAAATAATGCAGGTTGTTTTGGGGCTGATTTAAGATGGGCATGACTTGGAACAGTCTGATTATTATGTTGTCAAAGCTGATTACTAGCAGTTTGAATTATTGCTATCTACTAACTAACTACTGTATTGGCTAATTTAAAATGGTGTAAATGGATTCTAGCCAAACTAAGCTTGTTATTGCCTAGTCAAGGTTTAAGCTAGACATTAGCTGGCCTATAGAAATTTAAACTGGACATCAGCTGGTCTATGCAAGTGCACGTTGGTTTTTGACTGGTTTAAGCTTGTACAAGTTATTGGGTGATCTAAGATTAGCTGACACAAACTGATTATTAGTTGGTTTTAGATAAAGGATGTCCTGGAGGGCTGCAGCCCTGCACAGTTTAGCTTCAACACACTGCACTTTTCGCCCCATAGACTTCCATTTATATGCATGCAAATGCAACTGACCAGAAAAGTAAGCTCGTGCAACAAGTTTTACAGTTCATTGCATTGCAAGGTTCAAGCTTGGTGAACTCTGACCTGCGAAATTGCATTATGTGACTCTGTGAGACCAATCGATGATCAAATCATGACCTCTCTGGACAGAAATTTATAATATGGAGCAATTGCTTGCTTTTTTAATGTCTAATTATCTTGTTTAATCAATTTTTATTACAGAATTTTGCATTCTCAAACTCTAGTCTGACAGCAGCATAACCTGTAGGTTTCAAACAAGCCTGAATGACTCAATTAGTTGAATCAGGTGTGGTTTATTAGGGTTATAGCTAAATTGCAGAGGTGCAGAACTGTGCAGATCTGAGTTTGACACCATTGTTTTCAGATGGTTATTCACTGCTTTAAATTGTTATTAGCTGTTCTAAACTATTGCACATTGTTAATTATGTGGTGTAAATGGATTATTATCTGATCTAAGCTAGCTATTAAATGCTCTGAACTTATTATTGTCTGATTAAAGATTTTGTAAGACAAGAATTACTTAATCTAAGCTGGTTATTTTTTTGTCTAAACAAGTGCAAGCTGGATATTTGCTGGCTATGGCAATGCAAATCGGAGATCAGCTGATCTATGCTTGTGTGTAAGCCTTGTTATTGGCTGGTCTAACCCAGTTGATGTAAGCTTGTTAGTGGCTAGTTTAATGTGGTACAACCTTTTATTTAAAGCTGGTCTTTACTAGTGCAAACTGGTTATTAGCTGTTCCACACAAGTTATTTACTGCTGTAAGGTTGGTATTGATTGATTTAAAATGGTGGTTAAAGTGGAAATTTGCCTTAATTGTAAAAGGTTAATTAGCTATTCCAAGATGATCTTGTCTGAGTTTTAAGTTATAATGTGGTCTCTATTAGTGCAAGCTAAATATTAGTTATTTGTTATTATTGTCTGGCTATTACCCTAGGTTATAGGTGTTAAAGTCAATTCCTGGAAGGATGCAGCTCTGCACAGTTTTGGTCCAACCCTAATCAAACTCTGCTGATCCAACTAACCAAGGTGTTCAAAAGAATCTTGATTTTTGGATTAGGGTTGGAGCAAAACTGCTGAGCTGCGGGCCTTTAGGAATTGACTTTGACACATAAATTATTAATTAAAAGCTAAAGTAGCCAACATTCCCAAAACCATCTTGACCACCTTATCTGGTTTGTTGCTGGTCCAAAAATATTTACTAGTTTGGCATGAACTTTCTAGGAAATTGAAGTAATTTTTGTAATTGCAGTCTTCATCTGAATAAGTTACAAGTTAAAAAAAGAGGCTGATCTGACCTTCGATGACTTTAGGTAGGAAGTGTGCGGCCGCTTTGGTTTTCTTTACGCGGTTGCCCTTCATCACTTGGCCATCCCGGTTGATGCCGATGTACCAGGAGCGTCCTGACTGGCTTTGGCGGTACAGCATGGAGGAATATGTCACGTAGTAATTCTCAAACACACTCTCTTTAAATTTGCATTCTGGGTTAAAATGCTCCTGCCAAAGAATGAAAACACACAAATATGCTAATAAGCACAGGGATTTTATATACATACACATACATGTGTGAACACAAAAACAAGTTAAACATCTCACAAACAGAAATAACAGAAAAAATGCTATACTTTTGATTGGTTGGGCTGTCTCTGTAGAGAGTAAGGATAAATTTCATCTTGTTGTTTTGTTGAAAGCAATGTTCTCCAGAGAGCAGGAGGTAGATTATACTACTCATCAACTGTGCATTCATTAACATGACTGATGAACTTAAAGCTGTCCCTAAAGGTACTCGGAGTGAAGAAGCAGTGAGCTCTACTCAACATATGTACTGGCATGCAAATATAAACACACAGACTTGAAAGAAGAACTATCTCAAATCTATAGATTCTCAAAATGTCATGGGCTAAGATGAAGAAAAACACATCCCGCTTGCAACCTGAAACTTTAATTTAGCCCGTTCTAAACATAACCGCATCGTTCCCATTCATCTCTTTTTCGCTTAAAGCTATTCCCACCAATCCAAGCTGCTGTAGATGGGTGACTGTAACCAGCAGCGACATGTATACATCTCTCTTAGTCTTCGTCAGGGTCCTTGCCCTGTCAGAGAGCAGACCCAATCAGCAGGATTGATTTACTGAGAGTAGCCAAGCAGAAACGGCTGACTGAAGCCTTTCGGCGAGCCACCAGAGATTGAGAGATTCAGAACGGTTGAGGGAAGGAGAAATGGAGAAGATGCTGGATCGCAACGAAAGGGTTACTGCAAGTTTTTCTTCCCTAATATTAAGCAGCTGAGCACGACCTGAGTGAAAACCAGCAAATTCGACCAAATTTCTGCATGTCTGCTCTTAGTATTAGTCTATTCATCCAACCCACCTTTCCTCCCTCTCTTTCTGCTGGCCTATGTATCACACTAAGCAGCTTTTGCCTCACGTATTTGATGTCCTTAGAAACTCACAGTAGGAGGAGATCAATAGATGATCAGCCTTGTGGAATACTAATAACAATCTAATCATGTGAATCGAGTTACCACAGCAAACGTGAAGGTCATGGTCACCTTCAGCGTCACATTGTCAAGTTCAGGCTTAAAGTATTTCACCTTTGACCTACAGTATAACTCAACATACATCAGGTTGTGGTACCACAATTTAAAGACAGTAAGAACTCAATCTTCCAGGAGAATTGAAAACAATAAGTTGCAATGTTTATGTTTTATGCCAGCATTAATTTATGATATTATAAAGGCAACAAAATCATTCATTACTTAATTTTCCCTTCGACTTAGTCCTTTATTTATCAGGGGTTGCTACAGCGACCAACTATTCCAGCAAATGTTTTACGTAGCGGATACCCTTCCAGCCTCAACCCAGTAATGGGAAACAAACATACACTCTTGCACACACACACACACACACACACACACACACACACACACACACACACACACACACACACACACACACACACACACACACACACACTCATACACTAAGGCCAGTTTAGTTTTTTTCAATTCACCTATAGCACTTGTCTTTGGACTGTGGGGGAAACCAGAGCACCCTGAGGGAACCCCCGCGAACATGGGAAGAACATGCAAACTCCACACAAAAATGCCAACTGCTCCAGCTAGGACTCGAACCAGCGACCTTCTTGCTGTAAGGTGACCGTGACAATGCTAACGGCTGAGTCACTGTACCACCCCATAGGCAAAAAAAAAAAAAAAATAGTTTTCTGTGGTTGGTCCATACTTGTGTAACAATCTGCCTCATGAGATTAGAATGGCACCATCACTCGATCTATTTTTAAATTCATTTAAAATAATTATCTGTTAAGTTTGACCTCTTAATATTATAGTAATGGGTTGTTTTCACAAGACGTCATTGATGATGCATGAAATTCAAATAGTGGACAGGAAGTGATTCTTCTACATAGGAATTGCTATCAGAACATCAAAATATTTCTGTTTCATGTTGTTTATAATTGTTTAAATCAGCCAAAAATAAGAACTAGTGATCAGCTTCTAAAGACTTCCAAAGGTTTTTGCTCATAAAGGGAGGAAAGTTCAAGAAACTGGTTAAAAACCAGAAGAAAAGGTGGCATGTATTAAACAACTTTTTGTTTGACAGTACCAATACAGATTATACACAGGCCTAGTATAAATATGTTAATGTGTTATATAAAAATCAGATACAAACATCACCAAACATACAACATTCAGGAGGATATAAATAACATACCCTGCAATGTAATTGCTGAAATGAAATCCTTGTCTTGTTTAACAATAATTCAAGTCTAGGGTTTCAGCAGAATAAACAACCGTGAACATCGAGATGCGCAGCAGTGCTGAATGTTTGTTGATAGTAAGTTCATCGACCAAACTAAAAAGAAATGCAACCGTTGCAACAAAACTAGACGGTTATTATTGTGGAGCAGTAATTTTCCTCCATACAAAAAAATAATATAATGTAGACTATGCGACCATGCTTTTGTTTGCTTTCAACGGTTATTTTGTGATGGCTGGAAGATATCCGCATGGAGGGAAAAAAACTATAGTTGTTTATAATAACCTTGTTTTAAACCACATAGTTAGGTGTACAATGTTTAAAACTCTTTGGTTAATGAATGCTACAGAATGCTGTATAGTAAACCAATAAAGTGTAATAAATACTGTAACGTAAGTGTAAACTGTGGTGCATTGTGATGGTGTATAATTATAGCGTAGAAAACTAAAGCCTATTGACTATTTAACTGAAGCCTCATTTGTTTATTACTACAGTCGTGTTGTACCAGAGCAACAATATAATTACTGACTGTTTAATTCAAGTATTTGTATAGTATGTTTCCAAACACTTTAGTATTTACTATAGTATTTTTTTCATGTAACGTAATAGCTTATACAGCTTATACATAATTTAGTTTACTAGAAAACGTGGCCACTATTAATGATATTAGGATGATGCCCAACATATGTGCTTCTTTTCTATTTAAATCTGATTGAAAACAACCTATAGTTTTGTCAAGTCATGGTAACAATTGTTTCTATGTATTTGTTTACAATACATATGAGTACATGGGTCTCAGATTTCATGTGTTTCACATGAATCCCACAAATATATGATTTCATAAGTGAATAAGTGTTTCATGGACCCTCTAGTCACATGGAGGCTCCTGAAGCTTATGCGGAAAGCCCCTGACCCAATAGTGTCTGGCTGCAAACCTATACATAAATGCTCTGAGATGCACTTTCAGACACGTGTACTCAAAAGAGCATGTGATCTCAGAGTGAGGGGGAGAGTTTAGGGAGGTGTTAGGTGTATAGGTTCCTGAGAGTGCATGTCTGAGCATGGATGTCTGACAGTGCATGTTCACACAGACTGCAAATGACCAGCTCCTGCCTAAGCATGAGAGAGTTTGCATTGAGAAGTCTTGATTACGAACTTAAATGAACGCTAATCCTTTGGCTCTGACTCAGAAAGGAGTTAGACAGCCTCCTCAGCTTGCATGTCCTTATGGAATGGCTTGGAATGACATGTGGGGAAAGAGGTAATATCCGGCCTGCGTGCGGAGAATCCCGATGACAACGCCAACATCTTTATCATGCAGAGCAGCACTCTGACCTTCCCCTCGCTCCACCTCCTTTCCTCCCCTTTTCCTCCTCTTTGCTGCCTCCCTCCATTTCTCTGTGTTCGCATGCAAGTGTCTGATTGCATCTACATCACCTGCTCAAAAAAGGCCATTTATGAGCCTCTGTCTAAAACAGGATAACTAGGCCTGTTAAATCTTTAAATGTCCTTCATTTTTAAATCTTTTGAATGGATTAACATATTAATTAAATAGTTTATGTAGTGTTTTACTGTGTATTACCATACACCCAAAGTGTTTTACAATCACACAAAAGGGGTCTCTTCTTACCGAGTGCAGTTCAGGGTGCAGTTTTCACCTGGGTCTGATGGCAGCCATGGAACTGCAGTGCCAGTACTTTCACCAAACACCATTGGAAGGTGGTGAGCATAGACAGTGATAGAAACAATTCATCGGATCAGGATGATTAGGACGCCATGATGGGTAAGGGTTGATAGATAAAACTTGGCCTGGACATCAAGGTTAGACCCCTACTCTATGAGAAGTGCCATGGGATTTTTAATGACCATAGTGAGTCAGGACCCTGGTTAATGTCTCATCTGAAGGACATCTGCGTCACTGTACTGGGGCATTAGGACCCATTTTGGTTCCAGGGTAAGCACCCACTGTTGGCCTAATTAACTCTAACTCATAACTTTTCTATTTCTTGCTTTAGAAGTCTCAGCAACTTCAAGTTCACATGGACTTTATTCCAGTTTGTTTATGTAGTTCCAACTGGAATGGGATATTGATTGGGGTGGGGCTTTCATTTTCCACACCATTCCCTAATAGTAAACTAATGGTAAAAGGGACATGGGTGGCCAAGAATATTGTGGCAGAGCCAGAATCGTCAAACTAACATCAACTGAGAGGGACTGCCACTCCAAATTCAATTTCATTTCAATTCATGTTTATATCTATTGCGCTTTTACAATGTAGAAAGTCAAAAGCACCTTAACATACTGTAGATCAGGGGTCTCAAACTCGCGGCCCGCGGGCCATTTGCGGCCCTCAGTGCAATATTTTGTGGCCCGCGCCGACCGCTGTACACTGACAGAATCAGCGGAGCGGGGAGAGAGAGCACTCCCCGCTCCGCTGATTCTATTCGTACACAGCGGTCACTGGCATTCCCCGCCCGCCGTGTAAACAAAGGGGCGGGGATGCCGGTGACGTCACCACGCACCCCGCCCCTTTATTAGACGCTGTGACGGGCGGGAAGTGTTACCAGGAGGGAACTCGCGCCGGCCAGAACCAAGGTAAGTTGTTCCCGCCCCTGCCTGCCACTTAGCTACCTATCTGCAGCCTGCCACCTACCTAGCTACAGCCTGCATCTTATATATATTATAGGTAGATACAGACTGGTACAGACTGATGTGACTGGA